CAAACATAAGAAGCGGCAGCCTTTTATGTTGGCACAGTCCATAACAATAAGCCTGTTCCTCGTTTTGCTTCCACCGTTACACATTTCATCCTTAAGCATTAAAGTGTGGTCTGGCAAACAATGCTAAAACTGTCCAGTTACACATCTGCATTAAAAATGTCTCTTGGTGCATTTCTGTTCAGACTGTGGGTAAGAACATTTTGCAGGCCATTGCTGCAGGCTTGCAGATGACTTCAAGTCCCTGGTGTGGCCTAACTCTGCTCTGAGGGGTTGGCACAGCCATTTGGCTGAATATGGCCGTGGTCAAGTTTTTGTTAAGCAAAGATATTAAGAGATATGGGCAAAAGGCAGTTATACGGAGTTGGGTCACAGGTTAGCCATTGGGTCACAGTTCTCATTGAATGGTGGAACAGTCTTCAGGAGCTACTCTTCTTTCTTTGATCCTATGGCAAGTGTGCACAGGTTCGGCAAATCTGGAGTTACCAGTCTATAACCTTTGCCTATCATGGGTTTACTTCTATTAGATTTCCTATTTTGCTGGTGGGAATGGCTAACAACTTCACCACAACTGCAGTTTTTGGTTATTCGAATTCGACTCATCGCAATTTCACTGTATTCCATGTTCTGACGACCACAATGCCAAAGGCAATGTGGATAATTTGAATTTGACAGCTTTACTGGTGCAATTAAAAACAGTCAGATGTCCAAATCCAAAGGCAACAGCTACCTTCATTGTTCATTCCGCACAGCTGCCATTATTCTTGGTAGCTAACTTTCCACAAAAATTTCCTTCTCTGTGAAGTGTCTCCCCGTTGCCTGTCCCTTCCCCCCCCCTACCCCATCTCCACCTCTACCTCTGCTTGTTCTATTAAGACACACACGAGACTGCTGTGGAGAATTAAGACTCATAGCACAGGAATTCTAAATGTCGACGAGGAGAGAATATGAAGCAAATTGTAATCATAGTCCTTTTCTGACCCTAGATTTTAAAAAAGGAAAAAAAAAGTGAGCACTGAATTAAATGGAAGAAAGTATTCCTGCATTACAATGGTAACTACACTTCAGAAGTACATTAATGCACTGCCAAGTGCTCTGGGGAGTTGTGAGGTCATGAAAAGTGATGTGTAAATGTAAGTTCTTTCCTTCTATTATCAGGAAGGAAAGAGAAATTGCATTTATTTTTTGCTATTCACAACTACAGGACATTCCGGAGCACTTTACAGTCAATGAAATACGTTTAAAGTGTAGTCACTTTTGACGTAGGAAATGCAGCAATCAAGGTGCATACAGCCAGTTCTCACAAGCAGCCATGTGATAATGACCAGATAATTGGTTTTGTTGTTTGAGGAATGAATATTTGCCAGGGCACTAGGGATAACTTCCTTATTGTCAGAATGTAAGGTCATAATTTCTACCAAAAATAGCAAACTAGGGGACAAAATCAAACTTATTTAGTGAAGCATGTAGATCACATAGAGTCTTCTTGCAATTTAATGAAAATCAAAATAAAAGTCCTACATTTATATGGCAAGACACATCAGCAGTGCATCAGTCACAGTGAAACCACATTGCCTTTCAGTTTCAAATGTAGACAGAAAATATGAGAGAAACTTTCCAGGTCTGGCAACATCTGTGAAGAGAGAAACAGAGTTAATGTTTCAGTTCGTAGGATTTTTTTTTTTGAAACATTTAATTTTAACTCAACATTCTCTCTTGTTTCTCTCTCCACAGATGCTGCCAGACCTGCAAAGTTTCTCTCACATTTTCTGTTTTTTATTATTGATTTCTAGTATCTGCAGTATTTTGCTCTTGCCTCTTTCAGTTTCATTCACGTTTACTGTTCTCTATCAGAAGTTAAATACTTATGAACCTATGAACATATATTGTGTCCAGCCATTAGCTTCCAGTCCTCTGGACTAAAAGGTTTAATTCTAAAGGAAAAATTTATCTTAGCAGTTATTACAAAGATCTATTTTGTTGGCAACAAATGCCTTAACCATGGTTTACAAAACATTACCTGTTCATTCAATGTTTTGTTTAACCTTGAGAAACTGAGTGAAGAGATCAGACAGGACAACATCGAAATGACAAAGATCAGTTAAATCAGCAAGCAATGCTTATGTGACACATGTCTGAAGGACATAGAAACATCAAAGCATATGAAATAGGAGCAGGAGTAGGCCATTCGGCCCTTCAAGCCTGCTGCATAATTAATCATGATTATGGCTGGTTATCCAACTCAATAATCTGTTCCTGCATTTCCTCCATAACCTTTGATCCCTTTAGCCCCCAGTGCTACATTCCAGTTCCTTCTTGAAACCATGCAATGTTTTGGCCTCAACTGCTTTCTGTTGGAGCAAATTCCACAAGCTCACCACTCTCTGGTTGAAGAAATTTCCCCTCATCTGAAGCTTAAATGGTTTACCTCATATTCTTAGACTGTGACCTCCCTGGCATCGGGAACATCCTTCCTCCATCTACCCTGTCTAGTCCTGTTAGAATTATATAGGTTTCTATGGGATCATGCCTCATTCTTCTGCGCTCCAGTGAATATAATCTAAACTTCAACCCTTTCTTGTGTTTCAGTCCCGTCATCCGAGGAATCAGTCTGATAAATCTTCGCTACACGCCCTGTATGGCAAGAACACCCTTGCTCAGATAAGGAGAACAAAACTGCACGCAATATTCCGGGTGTAGTTTCACAAAAGCCCTGTATAATTGCAGCAAGACATCCCTGCTTTTGTACTCAAATCCTTTAACTATGAAGGCCAACATACCATTTGCCACCTATACCTCCTGCTGTATCTGTAATGGCTCACTTTCGCGTCTGTTGTACAAGGACATGAAGTGCTACTCATGGTTTAGGGCTTCACATTCTCTGAACTGCTTTTAAAGTTTGATGACTAGGGCCCCGTCATTGTCCAACGTAACAGGTTGATGGCAGTAGTCCCCACAAAACTGCTGAGGATACAAATGACAAAGCAGCCTTTTTGTGTATTGGCCTGAAAAGCGAAAGTTAAGAGGAGATTTGACAGAGCTGTTTAAAATCTTGAGGGATCTAATCTGAGTAGATTGGAAGAAAATGTTCCCATTGCTAGAAAGGTGAAGAACCAGAAGACACCAATTTAAGATGAATAGAAAAAGGACCAATTGTGACACTAGGGAAATACCTTTCTTAATGCAGCGAGTGATTTAAGCTCTAGAATGCATTGCTTGAGAGAGTGGTGGAGCAGGTTCAGTTGTGATATTGTAAATGGAATTTATAATTATCTGATGGGGAAGAAAAATAACTAACATGGGGAAAGGGCAGGGACGTGGGACTAGCGGAGTAGTTTTTGCGAAGAGCCAACTCAGACATAATGATACAAAGACCTTCTGTGTTGTAACTGTACTGTAATTCTAGAACACTTGAAGAACTCTGCTCTTCAACTAATACCACAAGATCTTTATCATCCACCTGAACAGGCAGGTAGAGCCTTGGTTTAGCGCTGCATCAATGATGGCTCTTCTAAAGCAGCCCTCTTTCATGGATGGCACAGTAATTAGCACTGCTGCCTCACAGTCCCAGGGACCCAGGTTTGATTCCAGTCTCGGGCAATTGTCTGTGTGGAGTTTGCATGTTCTCCCTGTGTCTGCTTGAGTTTTTGCTGGGTGCTCTGGTTTCCTCCCGGAGTCAAATGATGTGCAGGTAGGTGGATTGGCCATGCTAAATTGCCCATAGTGGAGGCTAGATGGGAAATGCAGGGTTGCAGGGCTAGGGTAGGGGGCTGGATGGAATTCTCTTCAGAGGGTCAGTGTGGACTCGATAGGCAGAATGGCCTGCTTCCACACTCTAGGGATTCTATGATTGTTGCAGTAATGGTGTCAGCCTGGATTATGAGCAAATGCCCAGCACTGAGGATTGAATCCTGGACTCTGATTTGGAGATTTAAGGCAAAGGTGTGGAATGGAAGAGGAAATAAGAGCCATTCCATCACTTTGATATCTATGAAAAAGCAATGAATAAGAGACAACTTGATGAGTCTTGATTTCAAGGTATTAGAATGCCTTGAGTTCAATTCTTATATATTAAATCTTCTTTTGAAAGCTGAAAACTGAAGATATTCATCACCTACAAACTGAGCTCAAATACATTGATGTCAGAGTCTAATCCACTTAATAACATAGAATATAGAGTTGAGGTTAAAATCAGATCAACCATGATTTCATTGAATGGTATAGCAGGCTCAAAGGACTGAGTGGCCTACTCTTTTCCCTGTTCATATATTCTCATGTTCAATGTTGCATCATTGAGTGTGAAACAACAGAGGTGGATTTGTGATGCAGTGATTTTTGGCTTCTGTGCTCAAACTTGGTACCGTCTGTACTTCATTCAACCATAGAATTGATGATCACCAAACTTACGTGATATCCATCAGTAAATAGCATTGCTGGGTTTCCATTTCTGCAGGATACCAAGGATAATTTTAGTAATCTCTTACACTTCAGTTGAGACCAGTCAACATTATCACTAGCTAAAATTTAAACCTGTACCATCCTGAACTTTATGGCTCATTTACAACCTGTGTTTATCAGCTGAGGAGAGAATGCAGCTTGTCTATTTTGAACAGCTCACCAGTCTCTGCTCTTGTGAAGATTTGGAAGCTGTGAATACCTGGACTCTTGTAAAGCAGTTCATCCCATGAGACCTTACCCGATTAAGAGTTGCTGCTTTTACAGAATGAAGGATGGGGGAAGAATTGGGATTATTTTATCATCACAGTTCTTACCTTGCTGAATAGACAAGTGCCCTTAATAGCTAAAATAACTGCAAAGTTCTAAAGGACTTGGGTTGAAATTCTGCTGTGAATATTTACTTTAAGTGTGTAGGAAATATACACTTTTACATTTTCTTTTGGCTTGTCAGGTAGATTATAAATAAAGTTTTTTGATACTCGTTTCTTTTATAAGTTTCATATTGATTGGATCTTCTGACTATTCTCTATTCTTTTAACTTGTAGAAGAACATGAGAAACGAGACAAGTTCCTTTTGGACAGGGAGCCAGAAAGTAAAAGAACAGACTTGGATAGAATCAACAATGTAATCCACATAGAAGAGGTTAAACCTGAGCTCCAAACTGTTCCTGCACTTCAAGTCCCGAAACCATTGCCTCCTCCAGCTGTTGCTGCTACAGTCGTTGTGCCTCACGTGGCCAGTCCTTCCCTCGCTCCGTCCCCACTTCCTCCGCAAATCGTACAGCATCATCAGCCAGTCCTGAGCCCCACCAACAGCACCAGAGAAATTTCCCAGTCCCCGCCAGTGCTTCATCGCTCTCCGATCTCTACACTCACTGACCCACAGCCTGGTCCACCGTTGGTGAGCAGCTCGCCTCAGCAGTTTACAAGTTCAATGTTGACCATCCCACCGCATCATGTCCTCCAGCCGTCAGCCCTACCGCAGCAGCCAAGTGGCCTTAAGCCAAGCCCAGTCGATGATGGAAAGCCCCAGGATCAAAAGAGAAGGCCAGGAGGGTGAGTGTCGACAGTACTGATGATTATTCCTCACGTTACCTTTTGATAGCCCAGATCTGAAGTAATGACTTGTATTTATCATGAAACTTAAAGTAATAATTTGGCTTGTAAGTCAGGAAATCAGAAGTTTGAAAGTAAGGAAGAGAAACCAGAAATGAAAAATGGCAGCAATGTTAAGTGTCTGCACACTTGTCAAACTTTTCACTTGTTTGAGCAATTAAGTTTTAGTTTTGTAGTACTGTAAAGTGACAAGCCATTGATTGTAACCTCTCGATCTGCACCACTTTGGTTATTCATGATAAGAATATTATTTCAGGCATCCAATATTGGAGGTAGTAATTACCAATTTCGTTTTTCTCTTTGTTTCTCTAGTTTGTTCTGGGGCAGGTAAGTCCGTGAGTCAGTTTGAGTCCATTCTGTAGAGTACAATTTAGGAAAAAATAATCAAGCAGTATAACTTGCAGCTTTGTTACTATTTATTGGAATTTTTAAACTGAGGACTAGATTGCAAGTCTGTACCAGTGATTGGCCACCTCCATCACGATGCTGGCAGATTGTAGACTGTCCTTGGTGGATGGGTAAAGTTCTAAGGTTTTGGAGTAGATCTGTAGCTCGGGTCGTGGGCGTTGAGGTTGGTTGGCTCGCCGAGCTGGTTTGTTGTTTTGCAAACGTTTTATTACTGTGCTTGGTAACCTCCTCAGTGCAGCCTCTGATGAAGCGTCGGTGTGTTTTCCCGCCTGGTTTTTAAACTCTGGGGTCCGTTGCGATGGATCGCCTCACTTCCGGTTTTCCTTCATAGTGGAATGTATATGGGGTCGAGTTCAATGTGTTTATTATAGCATGCTTCATGGAGTGCCATGCTTCCAGGAATTCTTGTGCTTGTTTCTGCCTAGCCTGTCCTAGGATCCTCGTGTTGTCCCAGTCGAAGTCGTGGTTCTCCTTGTCCATGTGGATTGAAATGAGTGAGTATTGGTCGTGTCTTTTTGTAGCCAGTTGGTGTTCGTGTACTCCTGTTGTTAGTTTCCTTCCTGTTTGTCCGATGTAGTGTTTCTCGCAGTCTCTGCAGGGGATCTTGTAGATGACATTGGTCCTGTCCATGGCGGGGAGTGGGTCTTTAGTTCAAGTGAGCAGTTGTCGTAGGGTTGACCTGGGCTTGTGTGCCACTCTGATGCCCAGCGGTTGTAGGAGTCTTGTGGTGAGTTCCGACGTGTTCCTGATGTAGGGTAGTGTGATGAGTGTGTCGGGGCGTGTGGTATCTTCCTGATGCTGTTCTTGTAGGCATCTTCTGACCCATCACCTCAACAACAACAACAATAAACAACACCCTCACCGGAATAAGATTCACCAGAGAGGAGGAGAAGAACAAACAGCTCCCATTCCTAGACGTCATGGTAGAGCGCAAGACAAATGGGGAGCTGCAGACGAAAGTACACCGAAAAGTCTCACACACAGATCAGGTACTGAACTTCAATAGTAACCATCCCAGCACACACAAACGAAGCTGCGTGTGAACACTATTTAAAAGGGCAACAACACACTGCAGCAACACAGAACTGCACCGAGAGGAAGAAGAATACCTCTTCCAAGTGCTCAAGGATAATGGATATCCAAAGAACTGGGTCAGAAGATGCCTACAAGAACAGCATCAGGAAGATACCACACGCCCCGACACACTCATCACACTACCCTACATCAGGAACACATCGGAACTCACCACAAGACTCCTACGACCGCTGGGCATCAGAGTGGCACACAAGCCCACATCAACCCTACAACAACTGCTCACCCGAAATAAAGACCCACTCCCCGCCATGGACAGGACCAATGTCATCTACAAGATCCCCTGCAGAGACTGCGAGAAACACTACATCGGACAAACAGGAAGGAAACTAACAACAGGAGTACATGAACACCAAATGGCTACAAAAAGACACAACCAATACTCACTCATTTCAATCCACATGGACAAGGAGAGCCGCGACTTCGACTGGGATAACACCTAGATCCTGGGACAGGCTAGGCAGAGACAAGCACGAGAATTCCGAGAAGCATGGCACTCCACGAAGCTTGCTATTAATAAACACATTGAACTCGACCCCATATACATTCCACTACGAAGGAAAACCAGAAGTGAGGCAATCCATCTCAATGGACCCCAGAGTTTAAAAACCAGGCGGGAAAACACACCGATGCTTCATCGGAGGCTGCACTGAGGATGTTACCAAGCATGGTAACGAAACATCTGCAAAACAACAAACCAGTTCGGCGAGCCAACCAACCTCAAGATGGGTAAAGTTTCTCATCACGGTGCATACTCAGGAATCTAAGGCTTATTGTTCTGTTTAACTGTGGAAAAACAGCCAACAGTTCTAGATTTTGCCCTTTCAAACTTAGGATCCTCCCTCAGGCCACAACTTGTGAAGTACAGCAGTGCTGTAAGTTATAGCAATAATGATAGGAACAATTGAGGTGCAAAAGAAGTGATTTGGCACAATATTAAAGTATCGTCTTTACATTTCAGTTTCCTTTTCCTACATTATGTTGATATTAAATGGGTCCAATTACCTCATTGAAAGAGGGCCTTTGATAGAGAAATGCAAAGAAATCTTAAAAGTATTAAAAACCACAAAGCTTTAAATCAGAAATCCAAGCTGGATATTGTATATGTTAAATGTACTCCAATCTTGATGGTGAAGCTGACTTCCTTGGTTTGAATGATGTATTCTGTAAGTCACTGATATTGACCGCAGACGTGGTTGTTCTCTGCTCGGAGGGTTGTAAGCCTGTTCCCAACTGCTTCGATTTCAGATACTGCAATAAGGTCTGATCACTGCCATCTGTCCAGCATTATCACAGAATTTTCTTTTGATTCAGAAGAAAAGCGCAAAATAAACATTTCTATTAAAGTCGATCAGTTATTAAGATCATATTGACTGCAGACTTGCTTTGTGGTCGTTGGGGCAATCACATTTTAGTGACGTAGACTAATGGTACATCTTAAATAAAAACTAATAAAGTTTTAGAAAGCATTTAATATTGAGCTAATACCCTGTTGATTGCCACCTAATAACGTGATCACTCTGTATTTCAGCTGGCTAAATTGTAGGGTATCTCAGGCCACATGAATACAGAAAATTCTGTATTTCAGTGTTTTCCACATGGAGATTATCCCCATGCTCCTTGACATGAAAGTTTCCAAGGCTTTCAAACAGCATCAGTATGAACGGTAAAGACTAATATGTCTCTGTAAAATGCATAAAGAATCCCAAGTTTGGATAGTGTTCGCAAAGCACACTTAATGTCCATTCAGAATGAAGCCTCCTGCTTGACTTTCAGAGAAGGCATTCAGTGATCTCACTTATATGTGCTTATATCATAACACGTTCTAAATATCCAGGTACAAGAAATAAGGAAGAAATTAAGCCCTTGAATCATTCAGACCTTTGGCCACTCATGAAGAACTGTTGATATTTCAGAATCAATTTTTAAGCTTCTGGCAACAGGAGCACAACATGAGAACTTTGGCATTTTTTGGACAATTTCTTAAACCATACTATTTCAGAACAGGATGAAGATCCTCCAAATGTTCAAATCTATATCAACAATTGGGACATCTGTGCAGTCTGTATTAGGTGCTGACATCCATTGACAAAGCCTACGAAGGATGCAAAAATGGTCCACAAATTTTTAACATCTTGACTGTGGTCAGTGACTACTTTCCACAGAAATGTGTGTATTGAGCATTTATATTTTGTTAGTGTCAAGTTGGTGTCAACTCTCAAGTCCTTGTTCTTGTTGAATATCCAAAGACTGTGTAGCAGCAAACATCAATGAATTATGTAAATGGATCTGAAATTCTTTCATAGTCAATTGATATATTGCATTGATCATGCCCAAAAGATTCATTCCTGATATAAGCTTCGGCAGTAGCATATCCAGAACTGCAAGTTGTCCAACTGTTAGAGAGTTGCCAACCACTCTAGAAAACTGCTAACCTTAATCATAAGCTTCAGAGCTCTGCAAATTCAAACCCTTTGAATAGATTACCAACTATTTCTTTTCTTTTCCTTGTTTTATAAGGTCTTGGAAGAATAATTTCAAGGGTTTCCTACTTCAGACAGCAAATGGCTTTATACAGTGTAGCATTGAGCAGCAGCTGGTCTGTTGTTGAGAACATTGATCCCAATTCTCTGTCGGGACCTTGTTGCAAGAAAATGCTCTGGTGGGATAGCTGCCAACTGGATTCTGTGCTAGTTTGAGTTTCAACGGTTTTGTGCACAGTTAGCCATTATTCACAAAACCAGAATCACTCCATTCATCTTTCAAACAGACAAAGTTCTTGTTCAGCCAGTCTTCAGTTTATTGTTCTAGTATACAGCCTTCTGATAAGCTCACTGTTAGGCTGTAGGACAGAGCCCTGTAGATACACTTTCCTTCATTGGCTACCAAAATGTTGTAATTTGGTAGCTCTAATTATCAATGGACTGGTATCTCATGCAGACAGCTTGCTGTCCAGGTCTTTGACATTACCATTTGAAAGTTGAGATGATTGATGCAAGAGGGATCTCCTCCTGGTAGCTCCCTATCATCACACTTGAGGAATGAAATAAATGAAATTTTGGTTGACTTGGCTACTTTACTGATTGGCTGATGGGCAGGACTGTTC